ATAAAATCTAAAGTAAAATGAAATCAATTAATTTATAATATGATAATAAGTTATCCTAATACTTTTTAGAAACTCTTACCACCAGTTAAGGATTAATAGCACATGTTTGCAAGATTTCTAAAGGATGCAGCTAATGTCTGATTCATATGGAAAGATTTTAAAATTGTCAGTAGATTTTCAAAAGATCAGAGACCAAGGAGGTAATATTAAGAAAAGAAGCACACTAAATCAAAGGGGAACAGGTTTCACTTATAAACATTCAGATGGGAAATTTCGTAAAAGATCTGGAGATCCAGCTTGACAGTATTGTTTATTTTAATTATCACCTATATTGTTTGTCCTGGTTGGCTATATGCCACTTTTAATAGGCTGGATGCTTGTATGTTCACCTTGGAGGGGCAGAGCTAGATGGGGGGCCAAGGGTGGCCATGGCTACGTTTAGCCAATCATTGGCCACCCCTACAGATGGTCTCTTATGGACATAATTCAGAAGCAGTTCCCCTTTTAAACAGTGTGTGGCGGCCGTGATATTTTCAAGTGGAAAGTTTATTGTTCATATTTTGGCAAATTGTAACTAAAATAATTTTGACAAAAAACTGACAAAAATGTACATTAGTTAATTATTTACATGAATATACTAAGAGAATTATGAATATAGAATTCATGGTATTTTCAGAACTAGTTTCTGTGTTCTACTGTATGAGATAGAATAGAATGTTGTATCTCTGCAAATCATCCAGGAGTTTTCTATGTAATTGGAGATACATAACAACTCAATCCAATTAGTATAGGTATTAGTAGATGTATATATTATTATTATTATTCAGAACAATTATAAGCTACAGTGGACATTTTCTTACGAAAATGTTGGTAAGAAATGTCATCAGATAAAANGTAATTATCACTGGTACTGGAGAAAGTCAGATAATGTCCAAATGGCCTCCTGAAGCATCAGCCCATACTCTGTACATCTTATGTAATTCAACTCACTGATTTAAACCAGATTTTTTAAATATATTTAAAAATTTCGAAACATTAACATTGGCCTTTTTGAAGTTGGTGATTATACATTATAACTTATGCTAGTGAAGATCCTCAGTCATCCAGGTCATACATATTCCAGAAAAGTTAAGAAACAATCCATTGGACTTTGTTTCCAAGTTTGAAGGCGTTGCGCCAGGAAGCTTTTTCAATTCAAATGTCAAAAATAGCGTTGAGTTCAAGGCTTTATAGAGTGAACCAAAAACAAAGCCTTTTTTTGGCTTACAGAGGGACAGAACACCTCACCTGTTCAGCCAGGCCAACAATTATATATATATATCAATTATAAAATAAATAGGTCTCCCCCCCCCTTTTTCCTCCTGAGCTCAGGTTCAGTACCAGAGGCCTGGGAGCTTAAGGGTTCTGCACAGTATCTTTGCTGTTCCTAGAACTGCACACTTCTAGATTGAGATGTCTGATGTATTTCCAGGAATTTGCTGTAACCACTCTTCAAGTTTGGGGGTCACTACCCTGAGTGCCCCAATGACCACGGGTACCACTGATGCCTTAACCTTCCAGGTTTTCTCCAGCTCTTCTCTGAGCCCCTGGTATTTCTCTAGTTTTTCATGTTCCTTTTTCCTGATGTTGCAGTCACTTGGTATTGCTATGTCAACCACAATGGCTTTCCTCTGCTTTTTGGAAGTCCCACAGGATCTTTGCTCAGTCATTCTGTACCATCTTTGGAGGTGTTTCTCACTTTGACCTTGGGGTTTCCAGCCCATACTCTGCACAGATGTTCCTGTATACTATTCCAGCCACTTGGTTATGGCGCTCCATGTAAGCTCTCCCTGCCAGCATCTTCCACCCTGCAGTTATGTGCTGGATTTTCTCAGGTGCCTCTTTGCACAGTCTGCACCTGGGGTCTTGTTTGGTGTAGTAGATCTGGGCCTCTAATGCTCAGGTGCTTAGGGCCTGCTCCTGTCCAGCCATGATGAGGGCCTCTGTGCTTTCCTTCAATCTGGCTTTGTCTAGCCATTGGTTGGATTTCCTGATATCTGCCACTTCGATTATGTTTCAGTGGTACATCCCGTGTAGGGGCTTATCCTCCCATGATGGAGTCTCTGGCACCTGATCTTCTATTCCCCATTGTCTGAGACATTCACTGAGGATGTTGTCTGTTGGAGCCTTTTCCTTGATGCACTTATGGATCTTGGATGTTTCATCCTGGATAGTGGCTCTTACGCTCATTAGTCCTCAGCCTCCTTCCTTATGGCTGTCGTACTCAGGGTGCGGGATTTGGGGTGGTACTCTCTGTGCATGGTTAGGAGCTTTCATGTCTTAACATCTGGGGCCTGTACCTCCTCCTTTGGCCAGCTTATTATTCTTGCTGGGTATCTGATTATTTGCGGTTGGCATTTGCTTGTGGGATTCCAAGGTACTTGTAGCTGTCCTCAATGTCTGCTATTGTTCCTTCTGGGAGTGAGACCCCCTCTGTGTGGACTACCTTTCCTCGTTTTGTCACCATCCAACCACATTTCTCTAGTCTGGTAGCCATGGCTACCTTTAGCCAATCATTGGCCACCCCTGCAAATGGTCCCTTGTGGACATAATTCAGAAGAACTTCCCCTCTTAAACACTGTGTGACAGCCGTAATATTTTCAAGTAGAAAGTTTTATTGTTCATATTTTGGCAAATTGTAACTAAAATAATTTTGACAAAAAACTGACAAAAATGTACATTAGTTACAGTAATTATGCACAGCCATATACTAAGAAAATGATGAATACATAATTCGTGGTATTTTCAGAACCAGTTTCTGTGTTTTATGAGATAGAATAGAAAGGTGTGTCTCCACAAATCATCCAGGAGTTTTCTATGTAATTGGAGATACACAACAGCTAAATCCAATTAGTATAGGTTTTAGTAGATGTATATATTATTATTATTGTTATTATTCAGAACAATTATAAGCTACAGTGGACATTTTCTTACGAAAATGTTGGTAAGAAATGTCATCAGATAAAAAAACATTGTCCCTGATTTAAATTTTGACAGGATGGATTTTTAGATATATATTTATTTATTAGCAAGTATTTTAGAAAATGTAGTTTGTTTTTATCTGGAAAATATGTCTGTTCTGCTTGTTCATTTTCCTGTTTGTACAAAGTATACTGACACAATTGGTTCAGCTTCAGCGACTCCTCTGTGCACATCGGTCCCTCCATGGCCAAGTGTTCTGGCTATAAAAACCAAATCTTTGGGGGATCAAACATGCAATGAACCTCTGCAGTCCAAACAGACAGTCAGTCCAGCTAAATAAACCTCCTTTAGGGTCACGTGTCATACATGAGTGTTAAAATATGAAATACATTTTTTATAAGCATCTACAGAAGAACATTCTGTCACTTTAGAACCACCATTTTATTTTGGTTTTGTGTTTTTCAAAAATGCAAAAAAAAGATAAACAGATGTTGATATTTATGGAAAATGGTCAATTATTTCCAACCTAATGGCAAAAAAATTTAATCTGAAACATTATTTGTACCTTTAGTGTCATTCTTTTGTGCAAGTTTAGATTATTTATTCAGTTCAAAAAAGGAAAAAACAAAGCGGTTAATTCTGCTGTATATTAATTGAAACCAATATTAGATTCATTGAATCAAAAACAGAAAGAGCCACTAAGAATGTGACTCCAGAGCAGCAAGTTGCAGAACCCTGCACTAGAACTCCTAAGACAATTCAACATGTTATATATGCTCAATTTAAAGTGGACCCAATGTCTAACAGCAGAGTAGACCACTCTTAACAAACCACACACAGCAGGTACATCTATCTTCAGAGCTATATTATCAATTAGGACATACCTAAGATCATCAGAAAGGAGAAGATTGGGTCAAAAATGATCCTAATTATCTTGTCATGTCACCCAGGCTTTAATTATACTGGACATTAAAATGAAAATACTTTTTTTAAGATGTATATCATCTGTATTTATTCCTTTGGTGAATGCTTCTTTATTCTTAATTTGAAAATGTATGTATAATTTATACTTTCCTCCTTTAGTGAATGATTTTTGTCTTAGGCTACTTTAACCATTGTTAAGTAGAAATTGTTTGCACATGTTAGCACTAGCACAAAGCATAAAGATTAAATAGAGGTTGCGGCGATTTTATAGCTATATCTGTTTGTTTAAACTTTTTAATTTATTCTAGACAGAACCATAATTAACATAATTGCTAGGAACCGTTAGCATTGGCATTACCGTTAACACATTTTAAGGATATAGCAAAGATGTTTCTGCTCTAAAACATCAACATTTTCCATGAATTTTACAATGCTAAGGTTTCTCTATATGATTTGCATCAAAAAGGCTTTAGATGCTTTCCTTAGAATGTCTTCTAAGGCACTCATGGCTGTGCGCTGACATGTGTTGAAACAAGCGTTAGAGTGCTAGCTGTCGCTCTGCAGTTTTCCCTGGTATTTCTCAGCTGTTGGTTTGGACTCATGTATCCCTCATTGCATGCGCTTCATAACAAGTGTTTTGCATTCTTTTCCCCTGGTTCCCTCTCTTTGTTCCTCTTTGTGTTCCCATCAGATGTTTCAGCCCATGATTTTGTTCATCCTCATTCTCGTTCTCTTCTCATCTCTTTCATATGCCGTCATCTTTAAGTTGGTCTTTCTTTTTGCGCTTTTCTTCGTACTCTAGTCTGATTGTTCTCCATACCGTTTAGCCCGTTAGTTGATTTTTGTTTTTCGTATCCCCTCCCCTGCTTATATTGTTTGTCCATTTTTTTTTTCTTTGTATTTTTTCTTTCCTCCCTGCTTGTTTTTTTTCCTTGGACCCTTACCCTGTTTGGTGTCTTTTGTCTGTTTTGTCCACAATCCACTTCACACATGTTCCTCCCCTCCCCACCTCTCATCAACACCACTGCCATCCCCTGTACCGGTTGTCCACCCTTCTACCCCACCACACTCTCCTGCCACCACCCCTTTACCCTCCCTTCCCATGTCACTCACAGTCCGTTCAGAGGGATGAGCTGGAGTGGCGTCTAGGACAGGAGCGAGGCGTGGAGCCCCAGAGCCAGGTTGGGGGCCCGGCCCAGAGCAGGGGAGCCACGGGACTCACTATGTACCACAGACCCCTGGCTTTAAGAATAGAGGTCAGTGCCTCCTCCCTCCTTTATATCTCCACCTCACCACCAGTTTGGGCCCTCTGCCAAGTCTTAACGCATGGATCTTTAAGGATTTAAAACAGATGCTGTTTTCATTTAATTGCTCCCTCACCTAAACTATTTAGACCAAGCTGTGACTTAGATGATGGCAAAACAGTGAGCATCTGTCTATAGAAGCTCCACAGGGTTTAATTATTTTTTTAGCTACAATTTCAAAACTGTTTTGAGGCTGCACTGCTCATAAATTGATGTATGATGTTGAGACAAACCACTTAAATGGGAATCTTATTCGGGACTTTCTGTTCTCCCATGAACAGTTTATTGACAGATGTGATTAGATTTTGAAGACATTTTTGGAACCACTTTGATCCTTAAAACTGGAGAATGCTTATCTATACAGCTGCAACCAGCTTCAATTATTAATTTATACATTATTTAACTGAATTGAAGCTAAAACAATACACCTAAAGGGGTTCTGGACAGAGCTTATTCACAGACAAAAGATCTCAAATGAAAAGTTTTTATACATTTTATTTTTATTTTTTTTACAATTTTGGCATAAGTGTTGCTTTGAATGAGTTGCTCTTTCAGCTAAAGGCATTTGTTAAGTTCTGCATACTCCAATGAATGATTATTCAATTAATAAATCAGTTAACAATTATTTCAATAATCAACTAATCATGATTAGTTGTTTTAGCCCTACTTATTTTTATGCTCTGTACTACTTGAACTATAAAGTCCTACCAGGAATTCTCTGGAACCTTGTTTTTATCCAGAGAGATAAATGTGAAGATATTGGTTTATTACAGATCACATAAAGAAAGGAACTAAAAGAAAAAAACACAAAAATAGCGAAATAAAATAGTATTTTTTTAAAGTAAAACAGAAAAACAGTTTAAGTATGGCAATTTTTTTTTTCTTTTGTCACACTGAAATGTTTCAGAGCATCAAACTTGTGTCATTATCAGATAGAGATTATTGGCTATTATTGGGTAGTGGGGGGTTTCAGCATGAGGGGCTGTTTAAGGTCAGGCCTCAGTATAAAAATGTATTTAAATAATCCAGAATTGCTTATTTTAAGGCCTTTTTAAGGCCTAAGCTAGGTGCACTATAGTTTAAATTAATAAATTAATCACCTGGAGTTACTCCTTTAGGATTTTCTGCTGGAGAGCAAGATTCATCCAGCTATCTATTGTTTTCTCCTGCTGACAGTGGTTGATTCCGAGGCATTTCCAGGCTAGAGGGAGTGTAGTCCATCAGCTTGATCTGGGTTTCTTCATAGCAGCACAGCCAAGAAGAAGCTTAACAGATTTTCTGATCATATGCCTGAATCAACCTTTTATGCCCAGAAGTTGCGGCTCTAACCAGATGAGGGAGGCTCTCGCCCCTCTCTCTACTGCTGATCCCAGCCTCCCCACTGAGGTCAGAGGCTTATTTCTATCCCTTGTAATTGAAAACAAATCAGCATCAGTTGAAAGTATTACCCAAAACCTAAACATCATCCAATCTTAAGTTGGCATTACTAGCCTAGAATTAAATATTCTCTCACATAGTTAAAAATAAAAAATTTTTTTGAAGAATTCTTAAGATGAAAATATGTCAAACAATATGGATTAAACCTTTAAGATAATGTTTTTATTTGCATTGGTGGTATTATTAGGGGGCTTATTATGTCTTACATTCACCATTTCTTACTTCTCTAGTTTAAAAAATTTAACTCCCCAATTTTTTTTGGGAGAAAAGGAGACATATGGGACAGGAAGTGGTTTGAAATTATTTCCTACAATCTATTTCTAGTTTACTGTTAGGAAATCAGTAGTTGCTAACAGCAGGAGTTTTTTTTTTTTAAGTTATTTAGTTTGGTTGAGGCTCGTAATCTTGCACAGATAGATGTGAAAAGAAACCAATAGACATTTTTTCTATGTGTCAGATAAAATGTAAAATCTAAAATAACATGTAATTAATAATTGATTACATGTTTATGTTCTGGTTTCTTTATAAATACGAGTAGCTGGGCACTAAATGATTGTCTACATTGGCAGAGGGACCAATTGACCTAAAATGATGAGTTTCATGACAATTATCAAATATGTTTGTGCCATCTTTTTGTAACTTTTTACATGAGATTAGATTCTGAGCATAGCTGTATGTAAATTAGATTTTTTTTTTTATAGTTAAAGAAAAATAAATTCGGCTAGTTTTCTTATAAAACTGTCCTTGAGATGCATCATATTTGGGGACATTTAAGCAACAATCATATACCAATAATCACAATCACACCTACATCCAGAATGTCAAAAAAAGGAAGTGTTTGTACAAGTAAAGGTTTACGAAAATATATCACATGTCTGTAATATTGAGTGTAAATTTTGTTTTTGAAGAACTGTGCATGTATCTTTTAAAAATACAGATATTCCACCAAGTAGCACCTGTTGCTTGTACTTACATTTTCATGTTTTTGGCTGCTGTCCAACTCCATTCCATTTACTTTCACCAATGTCAAACTCCAATAACTACAGCACTGATTATTTCACTTTAAAATTTATTTCTTTGACACTTCTGAATACATTTTTATTTTTATAGTTGGGAATGATGTAATAATAAGAAAACAAAACAACACAGATAACATCAAATAAAAAAATATTGCTGCTTTATTGTTGTACTTTAACAATGTAAAGGCACCGGCTACAGTATGTATGGCTCTGATCTGTGACTGCTTATGATAGCAGAGGTGCGTCTGCAGACAGCTCACCCTGAAGCGATGCCCCCTGGCTCTGGTCCATCACTATCAGACTTTCCCAATACCAAATGAATGAAGTCTATGTTAGCACACAGACATTCAGAGAACAGCTTTAAACACCCATATCCGTCATGTTTCTCTGGTCTTTTTCTCCTAAAATTTATTTATATGCTCTGAGTTCGTTCATGATAAATGCCTTCTGCATGTGTTTATAGAGACGCTCCCCATTGTTATGTAATGCAAAGTGCTGGCAGCGGTGATGCGGCACATAGCTGCCGTAGTCCCAATCATTGCACATTCGTGTGGACTTTTTATTCATCCCCTGCCTAATCTGTAGGGTGAAATAAATGAATGGGTGAACAGGGAAGCAGCTTGTATACAGCAGGATTAGCTCTGCACAGTCAGCATGTGTGATTTGCATTTGACATTGGGCTGTCAGCGAGGGGATGCCAGGTCAGGACAAAATGTGGAGTTCAACTATAGTGAAGAAGTGCAGCAGTATCGGATATCAAAAAATATATTAAATAGTGTAGGACACAAACTATATATAAGAAAAAAAGAATCGCAATGTCTTATTTCAAGTGCATATTATCTGATTATCTTATTTTAGGTCTAAAAATACTCATTTCATTGGCAAATCATCTTATTTACATACTCAAATTAGGGGTAAATACACTTAATTTAAGAGATTTTTACTCACTTATAGATCATTTTTGGAGTGAGGGAATGTTCTCCTCAGCTGGTGGTTTCTTTTGTAGCAGAAGAGAGAAACCTTGCCTTGACATGGTGGAAGAGCTTTCAAAAATAGCTTAAAGCATGTAAAAATATTTGCATGGATGTGGTTAATAAAACAGTTTACTTTATGTGCTGCTGTGGGTTCAGCACCGGGACACGGCTGCTTCTGAGGCTCAGTTTCGTCTGGAAAATGAGCGAAGGATGAGAGCTGTGACAGAGGAGCGGGAAGCTGTCAACATCCTGCCTCAGGTACGCAATGCAATATTAAATCAATGGGTGTCGTTTGGATATTGACCCAAAGCATGTTTATTGAAAGATTAAAACCTTTCAAGCATATGCCAAGCATGTGGTGTGCTTATGATGCATCAATTTTTTGTTTAATGAAAACTATAGTTTCTCTTATTTTCTTTTTTGTTGCTTTATGCTCACCTTAGAAAGTTTGCTGTTATCCGTGACTTAAGAAAAAATCCAGGAAAATTAAAAAACAATCCACTGGACTTTGTTTCCAACTTTGAAGACGTTCTGCTTCCCATCCAGGAGGCTTTTTCAAATTAAAATGTCAGAAATAGCATTGAGTTGGAGGCCTTTATAGAGTGGAGCAAAAACAAAGCCTCGTTTTGGTTTAGAATTAAGAAATAATTTTTGCTGAATCAGCCACTTCAGCATGCAGAGGTGATTTATTGTTCTTCAGTGCTGACAAAGCATTTGCATAGCAGCATTGGGTTTATTAATTCTATTTTCACATTATTCCTGCAGCATTTAATGTTGCTGCATGTCTTTTGCATCTCTGAATTGTGACAGTTAATAGGGATTTGTTTTGACATAAAAAAAAAAAACTATCAGTACGTTTGGTTTAATTGGTGATAAAGCTATATATTTGCTACTGGTTAAGATATAAAAAATACGCTCACCCCTATATTTTGCATTGTTTGTTATTCCACATTACAACAGGGTTATTTGTCTCCAGTTTCTGTTGCTCTTTCTCTTTTAAGTTTTAAAGAAAATTTTGTTTTACAATGGAGAAAGAAGAAATATAATGCTTTAGCATTTATTTTTAGTGTGAAAGTCCCCTGTTTCGATGTGAAATATGCCTCTGTTTCAGAATGCAAGTCTTTTATGGTGGTTTATTGCTTGACAAATGTTTTATAATAATTTTTTATTTTATACTAATTAAACTTCGTGTGGCAGGAGGAGCAGCGCTTATGTCTGGAGGCGCAGCGGGAAGGCCTGGAGCTTCAGGGCCTTCAGAGCCACGAGGCGCCCTGGGCTCAGGAACGAGCAATGCTCCAACAAGAGGTGCACTTGTTCAGACGCAATACCATCATCTTCTACATGAAGCTCAGGGGGATTCTTTTGCAGTGGAGGCTCGGCTGCAAGGGCGACTCAGGAGAAGAGCCAGGCTCACCCGACATATGTCAGGTATTGTTTATTCTAAAACACAAAAAGAAGGATAATTATTTTTCTGTTGTAGATTGCAGATGAATAAAATCAGGGATTTTTTTTGTGTCTTTTTTTTGTTTTGTTAGACAGTCACTTTAAGGATCTTTTTCCTAATATTTTTGTTTTTTTTCATGACTATATCATCTGGGTTTTTTTTTTTTAAGGTTTATCAAATTGCAGTTTGAGTTGGTCGTTAGGACCAAAGCGATAAAACTGGGGACAAACGAGCATGTCTTCCTGAATCGCTTCCAATCTCAGAGATACTTTGGCTCCACAGGACCTCGAATGCCTGCAGGTCTGATGCTCGAGTGGCTGCCAGGTGGATTGAGTCTCTCCATTTGTTGCTCTGCTCGTCGATTCAGCATTCGATCTTCCTTTTCTTCTTGTTATCCTCTCTGGTTTCTGGTTGATTGCACTTTCTGTCTGGGAGATTCATGTTTTTTTTTAGTTTCACGTTTTGTTCAGAGGATTCTCCAGGGATCACAGTAAAGTTTGACCTTTGCTGTTTGAATCTCAGTCGATAGAACAATTGTGTCCTGTAATTACAGCTGCCCTGGACATCGACGCTTTAACTGCCAGACTTGCTTATTTGGCTGCAATCAGTGAATGGACAATTTAGTTCAAACCAAACTCTAGTGCACTTATTTATTTTTAAACAGCTAAATACAGCAGGCATTTTCTTTGAAGACAAACCTTCATCCTGAACACATATCCATTAGAGGTTGTTTGTTTTCTTTAATCCCTCAGATTACTCTTTGTACTTTAAGAATAAAAAGAAAAGAAATGCATTTATCCTAAGGCATTCCACATTTATGGAATTTTTGCAGTTTTGTTAAATCACAGCAAACAACCAAAGCTGTGTAAAACTGAGGCCCTTTACCAAAAGTCCCTATGCCTTTAAATTATTTTTAAAAACAAAACACGGGGTTCAAAAATGGCTGTGATTAATAAAGGGATAAAAAGATATAAATGCAGGTTTAAATGTTTGATTAAATTTTGCATGACAGGTTTTCCATCAGCCATAGACTTTTTTCAATCATCAAGAAGATCCTGTTGCAATTCTGGTTGCAAATTTGAGCCCTCTTTTGGTTAGAAATAGATGCCTTTAAACATGTTGGTCCATAGTTTTCAGTAGGACTGAGGTTAGTATCATTCCAGAAGCCCAAAGGCCTGCTCTATTCAACCCAAAACTAACGTTGGTGTGTGTTTGGGAATGGTTGTGTTCAAATTTAAAACAACCGTTCATCTGAAATATAGTTTAAGAATATGAGGTCGCTTCCTCTTTTGTTATTCCATCCGCTTTGTGCAATAAACCAGTACCTCACCCTTCGTAGTTAGCAATTATTTACTGCATTGTTTGTAGGTTTATACATCCTGTCTCATGTCCTCCAAACATAGACAAATCAATCCTAGTCTGAATAAAGCAGGTTATAATCAAGCTTCTGCACCGACCTTCCCAAAGCCAGCTTCTTCTGATTAATAGAAATAAACAATGATTATTTGATAAATAAGTATAGAACTTGATTAGCTTTTAAAGTTATCAGATGTTGCAGTAATGCTGAGCTCTGCCATTTTCCCAGTGCTGACTTCACTCATTGTCCTCCTGTTTAACAAATGCAGAAGTTGGGTCCTTTCTTAAGCCCATCTTTTGATTGCTGGTTTGTTTAAAGGGGTTAAGAAGGCTGCACTGGCAAGCTTTTCAATCTTTTGATTTCCCTTGTTGTTCTCCTTACTAAGGTTACAAGGTTACATGAATGCAAGCAGGTCTATAGCTTTTATATAACTATTATATAATATTATACTGCTACTGTTAACTATTGCATATAGTCATTGAAATAATAACTCTATTATTTATGCTGTTTACATAAGGGCTGAAACAATTACTTGTAATAATCATAATAAAATGAAATATTCTGGTGTTTACAGCAGCAAAAACATAATAGAAAAAGAAATGGTCAAACAAATATAAATCTTAGAAAAATGTATAAGAAAAACATAATAGTGAAGAGTTAAAAGATAAACAATACAATACTTTACTGTAAAGTGTTTTAACAATACGCACTTGGAGAATCAATAACCAATCTACAGCTATGGACATTTTTACAGTAATGGATATTTGAAAATAGCAGCAACATCAGAGATGTGCAAAATGACAGCAGCATGTTATTTAACCGACTAAGATGGAAACAAAATTAATGCAAAATTGGCGTGAATATAACAAATTATTGAGGTTGTTGGGAACAGTGGTGGTTATAGAGTCTTCCAGCTGCTGGGAGGAAGGATCTGTGATAACGCTGCCTGATGCATTTATGGTGCAGCAGTCTGTCACTGGAGGAGCTTTCTATTACACATTATCCAACAGAGATGTTAATTTAGTCAGGATCGTTTTGTTTCCCACCTCCTGCACTGAGTCCAGAGGGCATCCAATCACAGAACTGGCCTTCCTTAGGACATTAAAGGGATATTATATCTGTTTTTACTGAAAAATATCTTTAAAATAGTCTTTTTATTTGATCCTTTACAACTAAAACATTGTTCCATGTTTAGCATTGATGCATCTATAAGCCTGTAGCCTATTTTCTTGAATTTAATTTGGGTCAGAAGGTCCTTCGCTGTTTGGCGGATGTGACGTCAAGTCTTCTTCAAGGTGGATTGTATGGATACTCAGAAGAGACCGGCATGTAGCTCAGTTCTCTCATTGCAACTAAATGTAAGGTGAAAAAAGTAAAAAAAAAAAAAAAAAAAATTTGTTTACAAGAACCAGCAGAAGCATGCTGCAGTTCTGTGTGTTGGCCACAGGTGGCAGTATCATTAGAAAACTCCATAATGTTTTTCAATCACTGAAATAATCGTCAATTATTTTAGTAATCGAATAATTGTTAACTGGAGTATAACGAGTCTAATACCTGTATTTAGCTGAAAGAGAAACCAATTCGGAGCTATAATTATACCAAAATTAGCATATAAATAAAATAGCATATAAACATTTTACATTCAACATTTCATTTTTTGTTTGTTTGTCAATATCCTCTATCAAGTGAATTAGTTTTGCTTCACCTAGTTTGAATTATGTATCAAATCTTCTTTAATCTTCAAATATTAAATGGTTAATTGAAAAAACAATCAACAGAGGAATTGATCAGCAAATAATCGTTAGTTGCAACCCTAGTATACATACAATTTGAAAACTTATAACCATTAAGACCAGATTTAGGTTTTTTGGCTACTCTTATAATGCTAAGTGCTTTTGTTACTGACCTCTTCTTTGTGGTTAGCTCTGATTTTAGCTTCCCGATTGCTATAATTACCTAGTCTGATCCAGCAGACGCAGGTTTGATTCAGAAAGTGTTTTAATATAGAGAACATTGCAGTATTTAGTTTTATTGCTTTTAAAGGAAAAAAATATTCATGTTTTTGAAATTCCTGTCATTTTAAAAAGTATTGTTTTCTTTCTCAGTATAATGTTTGTGTAAATTCTGCCTAATATCACCAGATTCCACGGTGATTCCCTGCCTTTCTCAATGTTCAGAAAAGTTCCCATAGCTGCCAGTCTGAGGCGGGATGTGTTGCTATGCAAACAGAAGACAGACCATAAATCAGAGCTCGGTTATCCCTGACACTATCGTCTGTTCCAGTTGGAGAAGCTGGAGGGCGTCCCAGAGCTGGGAGTGACGGCGGAGCAGGTGGAGGGGGAGACGGAACGAGACGACAGACTCTGTTTACCACAAACTCCGGGAGACACTCCTGAAGCTGGACCCGTCGTCCCTCTGCTGTCCCCTGATCGACACCTGCAGCATCAGAGACAGGTACTGAAGTATTTACAGGTGCAACCATGTTTTTAATGACTAACTTAAATAGCTCAACAGCCGTTTCCCCAAATAGAAACCCCAGCTCCACTGGATTTTTTAACTTTATATGAAATTAGTTGTTTTTTTTTATATATAAAAAAATATAAGATGCTGTAATTAAACACAAACCTTTAGTGCAGCATGTTTACACCAAAGTCATTAGCATCCTTTAAGGGTGCTGGCAGCATTGATTGACAGGTATACCAGCTCCACATCATCACATAACCTTCATGCTATTTAACAGGGGGCATTTCCATGTATTAAATGCACCCAGGTCCTGTTTAGTTTATATTAAGGATGATTGGACGAATTTTCTTGGTTTTATAGCATCACTGTAGAAAAAAAAAAAAATTTGTAGCATGTAATACACACATGGACAAAGTTGTTCGTACCCTTTGTTTAATGAACGTAACCCATAATGGTCACAGAAATAACTTAAATTTAACAAAAGGAATTATGAATAACATTCTGTGAAGATGAACATATGAAGGTCAGACATTGCTTTTCAACTATTCATCAACAGAATCATTTAAAAAAAAAACACATAAAACAGCCTGAAAATAATACCACCAAAGGTAATTTAAATCAAGACGCATCCACTAATTAGCATCACAGGTGTCTATAATCTTATAATCAGTCAGCAGGGCGGTAAATGGGGCTACAGGTAACTGTGCTGTTTGATTACATGGTGTGTACCACACTCAACATGGACCAGAGGAAGCGAAGGAAACAGTTGTCTCAAGAGATTAGACAGAAAATTAGAGACATTATAAACATGTTTAAGGTTAAAGTCTATAAAAGAATCTCCAAGCAGGTTGATGTTCCTGTGACTACAGCCGCACATATTATTTAGAAATTTAGGATCCAGAGGGCTGTACTGTAGCCAACCTCCCTAGATGCGGTTGTAGGAGGAAAATGGATGACAAAAGAGCGCTTTCCAAGTGCCTTTCTAGTTATAGATGTTGTTTAGCTCAAATGCTATAAAATAACTTTAGGTTAATATAAACATTGAATCACTAAATTATTTAAAGTGTCAGGTAAAGGATTTACTTTCATAAAACCAAAACTGGAGTGAATTGGGTCAGATTTAACCTTGTTAGAAACTTTTCTCTTTAATGCCACAATAAAAACATGTTACAAAAATATAAAATGTATACTCTAATATAAAAATTGATTAATTGGGTTTGTTTGCAATCTTTAGCTTTATTTTCGTTTTCTTCTTCATGTGTACAAAGGAGTATTTTCAGCTGCCGCTCATTAGAGCTGTTTGGCAGCGTATGCAGATTTTGACCCACTTAGCCAGTCAGAAGCACAGTTTTTATCAAGTATTCACAATTATTTTTGATTTTTTTGCTTTTAGTTAAGGTTGAAATAAATCTCAGTTAAATGTGATGTTTAAGAGGCTGGCAAGTTTTTTTTTTTTTTTTCTGGATTGTCCATATGCCACATTCTTGGAGATTTGCTTTGAAGTGTCAGTCGACCACTTTACCTGTCTGTAAAGTAAAACCAGCGCATGTCGGCAGCCTGCATGGGATGCATTATTAATTACACCAAAGTGCTTAACTTTGTAAAAGGTTTCAGATTTTTTTTCCTTCACATCACAAAGATAATTCTTACTTTGATTTGATGTGAGTTTGTCTCATTTGTTGTTTTTGCCAATTAGCTCATGCAATAATTTGTTAAGTAACTAACTATATGCAGGCTGTGAGGATCTGCTGCTAAAGGGGGATGGCCTGACCCCTCCAAAAAAATAAAAATACAGTAAAGACGTTTGTGAAAAGACAATAATTACACAATATTATACAGTATTTTGATGAAGACATCATTTACAATAAATCTTTTCTCTCTTTGGGTGATGCAATTTCTGTCT